AACATTTCTACAGCATAATTTATGGTCCTCTTTATACTTCTTTATATGACATTTAATAGTTGCTGCAAGTGTGAAAGGTGATTGACAAGTACCAAAAGGCAATCACGACATTTTGTATACTTGAAATGGCGAATTTTCATCATTTTTCAAATCTTAAAAGAATGAAATCCGCTTTTTATATCTGCCCCAAAGACTATCTTGTGTAACCTGAATTTAAAAATAATATCTAATAAATTGCTATACAAGTTGGCTCCTTGGATTAGACACTCCTTCAGAGATTTTGCACCTATGTCTTTATACGAACGGTCATAGACAATACGCACAGCAGTAGTTCTCTTGTTGATGTGAATTACAGGACTAGGAGGGGCAAAATAGCTATCCCTCTCAAGTTTGCAATTAACAGCATGAGAATGTTTTTCAATTATTCCTGTCTGTAATTGTTCATTAATTAATTTCATGTATTCACTAAATAACCATTCATTATGTCTCAATTTGGTTTCTAGCTTCAAAAACCTCTTTAGCAATTAGGAAATTATTTTTAAGCTCTGATTTTCTTTCATTAAATAATAACTTAACTGTACATTTTCCATTTTCGCAACACAAATTCTTATTAAACAGATCAATAACTTCTAAATCTTCCCGTGATAACGAGTCGCTGTCTCTCATAAAGAATTCCTTTAGACGCCAAAACGACTGATTTAACAAATTTAAATACGCAACAGTCAAATTTGATAACCTTTAGCAATCAAGCTAATAATGTGGCTGAAGCCAGTTTTGTTATTTCCTGGAATATTGCTCTTGCAAAATGCCCGTATGGAGAGAGAGAGTTTATTAAAAAAGACTTTGAAGATGTTCTAAAAGTTTTAAATCCAAACAAAGCAGCATTGCACAAAGTTGTTTCGTAAATTCGCATCTCAAAACACACTACCAAACGACGCATAACTGCAATTAATACATCTCTTCAATATAATTTAAAAATGGTTTGAAGAACTGTATTGCATTCAGCTTAGCCCTTGACGAATCTACAGATATCACAGATCTTTCGCAATTGGCACTTTTTATACGTTTTGTTTCACCTGACTTCATTGTTAAAGAAGAATTATTTACACTTCAAGAGTCAACCCGCAGTGTCTATATTAAAAATGCATTAGATTCCATTTTGAAAACTTTTGATGTGCCTCTTAATAAACTTGTCAGCATTGCAACTGATGGAGCTCCGGCCATGCTGGGTAAAAAAAAATTGGTCTTATTGGGCTTTTAAGAGATGATTCTCAAATTCCAAAATTCGTATCAATTTACTGTTTAATTTAACAAGAATATCTCATTACAACATATCCTGTGTTACACGTTGTAAATTACATTTGCACGAATGCAAAAAATCATCGACATTTAAAAAATTTCCTTGAAGAATTAAAGGACGAAGAACTTACAAATGACAGTTTCTTTTGCATTGTTAGATGGTTATCTAGCTACAAGTGTCTAATCCAAGGACCCAACTTGTATAGCAATTTATTAGATATTATTTTTAAATTCAGGTTACACAAGATAGTCTTTGGGGCAGATATAAAAAGCGGATTTCATTCTTTTAAGATTTGAAAAATTATTTAAAATTTATTTGGTTCAATAATGATGAAAATTCGCCATTTCAAATATACAAAATGTCGTGATTGCCTTTTGGTACTTGTCAATCACCTATCACACTTGCAGCAACTATTAAATGTCATATAAAGAAGTATAAAGAGGACCATAAATTATGCTGTAGAAATGTTAGAAATGTTAGATAAATTCTTGTATGTGGGCGATCTTTTGCATGGGACCAAAAATTATGAAAAAGCGTTTTATCTGTCAACTACTGCAGTGAGTATTCTGAAAGATTCAAACATGCATCTTGGTAAAATGAAAAGCAATTCTCGAGGTCTAAGAGAATTATGGGTCAAAAACGGAAGCAATGTTTAGGAAAATAATTTAAACAAAAACTCGTCAAAAGTTCTAGGCTTGAAGTGGGATACACATCAAGCCAATTTAAGTTTAGATGTAATCGATTTGTAGGTTTGTTTGATCCGATAGTTGCATTTCTAAAAGAAAAGAAAATAACCTATTCAGAATTAGACAATGACGAGTGGTTAAAAGAGTTAATGTTTTTGACTGATGTTATGGAACATTTGCAAACACTGAATTTACAATTGCAGGGGAAGGATAAAATAATATGTGACCTCTCACAGCGTATTTAGTGTACAGTCAAAAGTCGTTAATCCGGACTCGTCGGGACTTCGGCGATTCCGGATTATCGATTTTTCCGGATTATAGATCATCAGTTTAAATCTGGTAAGATGGCATGCAGAAATTCTAAAATAAAAAATATGAAACCGTAATTTATGAAATAAAGAACAATTATGATCTAAAGGGTATCAAACTTTACAAAAAAAGAAGCTTCATATTTATTTGTTTATTTATTAAACATTTCTTTCAATGTAAGTTGTTTAAGTTGCTTCGTTTTATGTGATAATACTTTCTCTTTAATTCTATAAACAGACATAATTTCTTGTTCAGTTACAAAGTTCCGCTGTTCAAGTCCCGTAATTGCTGTGCCGAGAATACCAACTAACTTGTCAATCGAAATTTTTTCGTTTTCACTAACCTCTCTGTCACCTTCTTCATGTCTTTATCCATTTTTTGCAGCAATTCCACTTTTTGTTTGACGGACATCGAAACGTACTTTCGTTTTGTAGATCCTTTGGGAGCTCCATCGGAAATTCTATTTGACATAATCCAAAGTTCAAATTTACTTTTATAAAATTGTTCTTACAGTCTGCAAAAAATAATAAGCGCACCAAGTTCGAAGATTATAGAACAACACAATCATCAACATTAACTGAAATTGATAATTAGATAATTTTAGCTTATACATTAAACACACACGCGAAAACATATTCTGCGCTTGTGCACACGCATATGCGCAGTCGTAAAGGTCTTACGTGCAGGCGTAAACGCCTTTGCGCGTGTGTCAATGTGGCGCATGTGCAGAAAGTTTTTAGCTTTGAGGTCCGGATTATAGATCATTCCGGATTATGGGTGTCCGAATTAACGACTTTTGACTGTATTTAGTTTTCAAACTAAATTACAACTTTTTCAAAAGGACATTAAAAATAAAACATTTTATCATTTTCCTCGAATTAAAATTTTTTTTCCAATATTAAACAAGAAAAACTCAACGAGTATGTAAAAGAGCTAGAAGGAATATTGACGGAATTCCAAAATAGATTTCAAGACTTGAAATATTTTAATTTGTCTCTTGATGTTTTTCTGATTCCATTTGAAATTAACATAATTCAAGGTGATTTTTTCCATTTCCAATATAATTATGACCCAAAAAGCATCTGGAGATTAGAATTAATATAGATGCAAAAAGATCAAGCTCTGCAATTAAAATATAAGTCGACGCCAATTACTGAATTTTAATTGGAAGTTTGTACCAGAATTTAAGTATCCTGAATTAAAAAAGGCTGCTTGTCGAATTATTTCAATATTCGGAATGACGTACTTATGTGAATCATTTTATTCCACTTTAAAATTCGTGAAATCCAAACACCGATCAGTATTAGCTAACCAGCATCTCAAAGAATTACTGAGATGTGCTGTCACTAATTATTCACCAAATTTTAAAGAATTATCAAGAGAAATAAAATAAATCTGTTTAATTTTTAATATTTAAATTCAATATACATATTTTGTACTTTTATTTATATGTTTTCAATAAATATAATTTTCTGTAAAAAATTTTTGAATACCTTTTAAATACATATTTAATTGCGGTTAGCGAAAAATTTCAAATTTTGAAAAATGGCTCAGACTATCAAGGAGCTTAACCACCCCTGATAAATAGGTACCCTGGTTGGCATTCAATGGTTACCAGTTGCTGAATAGTCAAAAAGTAATAGCTTCTACGCACCATTAGTTCTCCGTGGATTCTATTTTTAGCAGTTGAATCATTCGAGTTCTACTGATTTTTTTCTCATCAGCAATGTGCATACAGGATGTTCTCTGTTAAAAATGCCCTTCTCAGAAGAAGATCACAGTTATATGCTGTGCCTAAATCGAGTAACTCAATCAAGTCCACTACTTAATGAATAACATGCGCAATTTGCTAAAGCAATACAATAAATGATTATCTGCTTGTGAATAAAACCTACATCTTATTTCTGAGTTTGTAAATAATATTTTCTCTCTCTCTGTGTCTTTTTTTTTTTTTTTTTTTTTTTCTGTGAGTGAGCCATCTATAGTAGCAATGTCACATTATTTACCTATTATTTTTATTTATTGAGACATTAACATATAAATCTTTATCATAGATATCAGTAAAGTTTAATTTCAAAATAATACAACATTTCTTGCTTATTATTATCCACATTTTCAAACTTAACTAGCTTAAATTTCAAAGTTAAAAGTCAGATGAGTGATAGAAATAACTGATCCTGTGCATTTATATAAAAACAAACTAGGTTTCTATGATCTGATGATATTAATTGGGATAACATAAAGTAGCTATCAATCAATCAATCAGTGTATTCTAAAGTTTATTTGCATTCTAATCTAATATTTTATATTCAGTCTTTTCTTCTTAGGAAAGGCATGATATATATTATATAGGAAAGACATAATATATTTTATATCTGACAATTTCATTTTAACAAAAATTTCTTTTATCTTATGTAAATATTTGCTTTCTATTTCAAATACAATTTTCTAAAAACTTTTGCATAATTCTGAATTCTTTACATACTTGCAAAATTTGGAACGAAAATTGGAACAAATTATTTAGGTACTTTAATTACTTCAATTCTGAATTATTTACATACTTGAAAAAATTGGAACCAAATTTCACTTTTATATGTATTTTTTCACATTTCAGATTTATTTAATAAAATACTTGTTTTTTAAAATATTGTTTTAAAATGCAATATCAGATTGTTATCAGAGACTGATGATAATATGTTTTACAGAGGATGTGAAAAATCTGATTGCTCAGGCAACAAAAGCTAATGAGGAAAAATTTGAAGCCATTGCAGCTGCTGAAGAAGCTAAGATGAAAGAATCAAGTTTACAAGTATAAGCCCTTTGATTTACCTATACAGAGTGATTATTTTATTAAACACATTCTGTTAACTTAATGTCCTTATTCATTGAGGTCTTATCTGTTAGAACTATAGCACTATTTTATAAGTTAATTTGTTCTAGTTTTTAAAATGCTAAGTTTTTGATTATGTGAAATGAATTTTTATTGATAACAATTGCTATGAACCATTTGAGCAATATATTCATTTTTACTAAATTATGAGTTGTATTGTTACTTTATACATATTAGATTCTTACAAACTCAACTCCTGATAATTCAATATTCTGTATACCTTGAACATCACTTTTTTTAGTCATTAAATGATTTCTGCTGGTCAGACAGAATATTTATTATCTTTGAAATAATGTGTGATGTTTTGGCATTCTAGTTTTGAAATTTTTGTCTTTTCCTTTGTGACAGTTTCTTGGAACCTATATAACAAATTTAATTTCAGGCTTTGTTCATTTTTTTTGAAATTACTATCTACTTTATTCTTCCTGTCGGTAGAAAAGTGGCTGAAGCTAAATTTTCAGTTTAGTCTGGGTATAGTGTTTTGGTTTATATAGAGGCTTACAAGTATGTTGACTGTGCAAGTGAAAATATGGAATGAGAGAAAAAGAAAACAAATTAAAATGAGAGTAAAGTAAAATATCATGCTTTAAGAGACTGGACAAAGGGAAACATATTAATAAAATAACTGTTTATTGCTGAATCAAATATTAGGACTTGTGAATAACCCAAGCCTTCTTCCCCCAAACTAAACATTTTCAATAATTCGTTATACTCTCTTGGTGCCTATTGGGTTGAGTTTGTGGGACTCCCTAAAGTTGCACCCTCTCGTATTTCCTTTAATGATTTGCAAATCAGTCTAATTATATGAAGTTTATGAAAACAACAGCATTATAAACATTTATATATAAGTAATAAAAGTTTTGTAAATACAATAATAGAACACTTCATTTTAATGAATTATTTTAAGATTATTATATTTATTAACATCATGACTTTAATAAGCATTAATAATTTAAGTCATGGTGTAGGAGTTTGTAAAGTGTGATATAATAATGTATCTTACTTGGTTCAAATTTTATTTATATTTACCAAACAGCCAGTTTGCTTTAGGTGGAACAATTTAGACATTTTCATATCTATATTTCTTTTCCAGAATTTAATTTTCATTTTTAAAAGATGAAGTCTTAAGTTGTGTAATGTGGTTTTTTTTTTAAGAGAATTAAGATTATACTTCTGAAGCATCTTAAAAACTTTATTTTAGAGCATTAATCTGAATGAAATTATGGGCAAAGTTGAATTCTTTTCAAATTTTCTTGGACTGCGTTCTGGCCTATTAAAATCCTCAGAATAAGCGAATAAGTAAGCCATAATGACAATACATGAAGTTCGAGTTCAAATGCAATGAAACGTTTTCTGAAAGATGCATAATTGGTGATCCTGTCATTACAAGCCAGAGTTTCTTTTCACACTGATAAAAACATTAATCCAACATTCTCCTCCACATAGCGCTACTTATACATAAAAATTTTCTGTACATTCTTATTAATAAACTAGGTTTATCATTACTCAAATTCTCAAACATACTCATATCAAATGAATGATGTCCTAATTATTACATAAATCTAATAAATTTTAAAGCTCAATTTAATGAATATCAAAATTATACAAATCTTTGTTAAACGTTTTCAGTTAAAATATTGGATAATAATATTATAAGCATAAAAACACTATACATTGTAGGATTCAAAAGACTATAACGTAAAAATATTTTGCAGTAGTGTGACTACAAGAACGTTTTTGTGTTACTACATTCTCCCCCTTTTCTAAATGTGGTTTATCCCAAATCACGGGGTCGAAAGCTTGCGGTGCATTTAGTAACCTGTGATAGAAAGAAGGGACGTCAGTTGAGCAGAGAATCAATATCAAATTTTGTGTTCGTTTGGGGAAGAGTGCTACGGAGACTTTTGGAATGTTAAGCATGTGTACAGAAGTGAAACAGTATCGAGAACGCAAGCTTTTAAGTGGCATTGTTGTTTCAGAGAAGGCAGAGAAAGTGCCAAAGATGATGAATGCTTTGGCCATCCCATGAATTCGTGCTCTGATGAAAACATCAAAAAGGTGTCTGCTGTGGTATGTTCGAACAGGCAGTAAACAATTTGCCAAATAGCAAAATCAGTTGGGATATCAGAAGCCACATGCCAGCGGATACTGACTAAGGATCTTAAGATGCATAGGGTGTGTCAATACATCATTCCCCGCATGTTAAACATAGATCAAAGTTGAATTCGAATGGAAATGGCGAGAAACTTAATCTTGGCTGTTGACAAAGATCTTTCCCTACTTGGCAGAGTTGTTTTACTGGAGACGAGAAATCGTGTCTTTTGTACGACTCGCAAACCAAGAGAGCATCGGCAAGGTGGAAATCACCACAATCTCCATGGAAGCAAAAATTCTGCCAAGATTACTCTAAAGGAAAGGTCATGCTAGAGGTATTCTTTGATATTCAGGACATTGTGCATCTGAAATTTATCCCTGAAGGACACACTGTGAACAAAGAACTCTACGTCGAAAACCTGCGTTGTTTGCTTGAGTCAATCTAAAAGATGAGACAAAAAATGTGGGCTGAGCAGTCATGGTTGCTGTTTCATGAAATGCTCCTGATCACCGACCCCCTACTAGTCAATGACTTTCTTGCGAAAACGAAAACAACTGTTTTGCCTCATCTTCCCTACTTACCTGATCTCGTACCCTGTGATTTCTTTGTATTTCCTGAACTGGCAAGATGCTTGCAGAGTCGTCAGTTTCAATCTTCAGATGAAGTTAAATGTGCATCTCAGGCTGAATTAAAGTACATGGCCGAAAATGGATTCCAGACATGCTTTGATGAACTTTACAGGCGCTGGCAAAAGTTGTTGCGCAAGGGTCTTATTTCGAAGGAGGATGTGTTTCTGTAATTTAATTCCTAATTGTTGCATGCATACGGATTCGTTATGAATTGAATGCACATGTCCGACGAAAAATGAATAAAATTTATTATTATCACAACAAATAAAACAAAATGCTTGACTTTCCTCAGGTATTCATACAATATTCCAATATCTCACAGTAGTTATCTTTTGAACTTCTAAAGACGTTCAACAGAACTAAAGGCCGGACCACACCAGTACGCTCGCAACGTAGTTGATGCAACTTTTTTCACGCCGGCCTGAATTCGTGTGACGCAGAAGATGTAAAACTGAGTTCGCTGATGTTCAGCTTTTACGTCCGTAACGTGAACAAACAGCCATATTATGTGTCATAATCAGAAAACCATCTTGCTTACCCGTTTCAATATGGTATCAGGACCACAAAGAGATGAGTTTTTGCTTAGAAATATCATAACTGTATACAGCAATAAAATAATCAGCATTGTTCACACCATCTTCAGATTTCTCAGTATATAATTCAATTAGCTTTTCTCAGTTTGAAACGTTTTTCTTATATTTCATCATGAATCATAATATTCTTATTTTACCTATTATTATTGTTTTCATTTCTTATTTTATTCATTATTATTATTGTTTTTAATTTAATTTAAAAATGTGCATTGCAAATAGAAACCCTTATGTAATAATATTTCTGCATCTCTTTATCATATATCACCTATAAATTATCTTTTTATTTTTACTTTATTGCATATTTTATCATGCACATAATTTCTCATAAACTGTCCAAAATTTGAACTCCATTCTAAATTCAAAAATAAATAAAAAGAAAAACAAAAGACCAAGGGAGGGGGAGTTTAAAAAATATGAAGATGGCTTTATTATATGGTGAATGGTGTATATAAAGAGAATTAAGTAATTTAATTCTCTTTATGTACTGTATATATATATATATATATGTATGTATATATTTTTTTTTTTAAAAAGTTAAGTCATTCCTACTTAGGTCCACAAAGAAAAATGAGGGGGGGAATTACAAACATAATTTTTTAAATTAAAAATTTAAAAATTTTAATATGTGAAGAAGCTGTATTAACATCAAGTGTCATTCAGTACAAGTTTAAAAAATTGTATTTGAACTTGAGTGTATGAAAAAAAATTATTTTATTAATGAATGAAAATTTGAACAAGATATACGGAGAATGTGAACTAATATTAGGAATTTAATTATTCCAGATATTCATTTCGCAAACGAGGCAGTAAAGGAAAAAAATCTCTTTGAACAGGTCGCTCTATAAAACATTAATAAACATTACATTACAATAAATCTTTCGGAACCATTCTCGTCATTTTTTTGCGGTTTTGCCTCTGCTTAATGAAGTAAAGTTTCAGCTATAAAAAAATCATCTGATTCGGACAACTTGCCACAAACATATAGAAGCACAGTGAAGTAACAAGATACAGCTCCGTTGACACTATATTAAAGTGCCACGTGGTTTTTGGTATAATTCAATTGGCTAAATGCACTCTTTGCAAGCATACTCGTTTGGACGCTTTTTCGCTATTAACGCAAAAGTGCATTCATCAGCTACGTTTTGAGCGTAGCCGTGTGGATGGGTCTTAATTCAAAACAGAGAAATGTAGAGAAAGCTAATCCGATTTCACTGTGAATTCACAACAGCAGTTTTCTGAACAAAACTCACAAAACAACTACTGAATTGAGAGGTTTTCTACCTTTTTATAAGCTTTTTAAATCATGCACAAGTTTGTTCTATCAATTTCTTGAAATCAAAATGAGATATTTATTTATTAAATGTTAAATGCACGAGCCTTTGTATTTTTAATTTTCTGGCTTAGTTTTCTCTTAATAATCATCACACGCTGCACTGCATGGAGAATAAAACAATTTAATTTATAATTCTACCTAGATTAGCTATTTAAATACCAAATCCTTAATAATATTTTTTCGTTATAGACTCAGTCCGGGAACTTTTGAATCCTACCTCATATTATACTTACACACAATGCTAAATTCTACTATTCAAATAATTCAAT